TATCGCGATATATATTGATATCGAATTATTGTCCAGCCCTAATCATCTATCGTAGATTCTGGGTCCACATGTCCTCCAAGACATAATATGAACCAACTGGAGTATCTAGCTTGTAATACCACCTAAAGTACAAAATCAGAAGTGATACAAGTGACCTGGAAGAACTTGTGCTGTGAATGACATAAGAATTAATACGATAATCAGTGAAAGGATTGAACAGTAAGCCCCCGAAAGAATGTGAGACGTGCAGCATACTTACATATGTATAGGAACCCCAATGCCTTCTGAAAAAACAAAACAGATGCTGAAATTGAAATGGCCCGCATAGTGAATCATCCTGATCTAAAATTCCACTAAAGGTACTGATGATTCAGATAATGCAGTAACATAATGAAGCACAGACCTTTAAAAAGAAACATATGAACAATGAGTACAAAGCTATGTGAAAGATAAAATATTTTAAAAGGCGGCAGAAAGGTTTGATTAAAAGTTTAGTGTTAAAAATGAATATCTAAAAGATCAATTTAACAGCAAAATACAAGACAGAAAGCAACATTTGAATGCTGAAAGCAATTTCGTAAAGGTCAAAAATAAATCTAGACAATGCCTTTCTGATTTGGTATAATTTCTTCAGAAGACTGCACAATGATTAATGAGGTAGAATACTGAAACCTTACAGGACATACTGTACAATTCAAGCTCAAGAAAGGGTCATTTTATGAGGCTTTATTGTATAAGAATACAATTTTTACCTAGTTAAATTGTTTCCACTTTACATATTCAGGTTATGTGTCCTCATTGTTTATATCTTCTATTTTACATTGAGACATCAGAAAATACTTCAATCTCTTCGCACGTATAGTACACCTAACTCAAATATACATACAGGAGACTAGTTTTAAGAATCACTTCTGCAAAAGAAAAATGGAGATAGCAGGGTGTGGGTGTTGAAAGGGTTGTGCAAGTCTATCCATCCATCCATCCATTGTCCAACCCGCTTATCCTACTGCGTTGGAGCCTAACCCAGAAGCAACGGGCACGAGGCAGGGAACAACCCTGGACGGGGGGGCCAGCCCATCGCAGGGCACACTCGCACACCATTCACACCTAAGGGCAATTTGAGCAACGCCAATTAGCCTGCAGTGGACAGTGAAAGCAGCTGAGGTTATCGGTGTGTCCCTACCTCACTTGAAAGAAATTTCAAGACCCGCTGCTGTAACAGAGCCAGAAACATAGTGAAGGATCACTACCATCCATTACATGGACTTTTTTCACTCTTACCATCTGGCAAACGGTTTCGTAGCTTCCGTTCTGCCTCCACGATACTGTGTAACAGCTTCGTTCCACAAGCCATCAGGGCTCTGAACACACTTTAAATTTTGATCATGGCTCTTCTGAAATACCTCATACCTGCACTTTTATGGTTACTCTGTACAATATAATAACCAGTGCAATAGTACCGTGCAATATAATATTACCATGTGCAATTTCAGTCACTAAAGCTCCCCATTCAAAAATACTGGAGTGTCGTGTACTGTTCTATCCCTTTATTGTTCCATATATTTATTGTAACTTGTTGTGCACGGTAATGTGATCGCAACCTTTGCACTTTATTGTGTTGCCTGTTTGCACCTTTTTGCCCTGTTGTATGTGGTATTCAGTGTTACTAGATGTTGCACCCGGGCCATGGGGAAACGTTGCCTCATCACACTTTGTACATGTATAAAGCCGTTGATGACAATAAAGTAACCTTAACCTTAAGATTTCCCCCTTCATAATGTTTAAAATAAAACAAATGCCTGGTGAACGTATTGGGTTTGACGTCAAAGTCTTTATTCAAAAGCTTAAGAGGACATAAGAGGACGTCCGAAGTTTGCCAGCAACATCTTAACCTGTCAATGACATGTTGGTGGAGAGACACTGACCAATCTAGTACAGAATTCCACAAGTGCCATCAGGGCATCGCTGTGTACCAGAAATTATTTTTTTTGCATAGAACATAAACTCAATTTAATTTGTGAAGGCAAACTCACCAGTTCCAGAAATAAGCACCCTACTTAAATAAATAGCAACCCCCACAAACAAAATTTGGGGAGGGATTAGGTATATGAACTACCCATCAGAATGAAGTGTAGCAAGTATGGAGATTAACAGAACCAAAAAAAATAAAAAATGCCCATACATACACACACACACACACACTTAACGCAGGACCTGTGTGTAAACAAATACACAATTGTAGGAGTGCTTCATAACATTGAGGTTTACATTCCAGTTCTTAAACAACCGGGGGCCACATTAAGAGCACTGTAGTATTATTAGACAGCAGTCAGGCCCCAGTCCATAACCAACATCGATTCCACAAAGTTTTGGAAACAAGCAAAACCATGTACAGGTGTCAACATTTCATACAAGTGCATTTCATTTGGAGGGTAGGGGATGTAATCTGGGTTACTCTCAGGGGTGCAAATTATCACCCTATCACAACTCTGCTGCATCTATAAACACAGACCAAATGTGTGGAGATCAGCTCACAGGCAGCTATCTAACAGTACTACAGGGTCACGCATCTCGGTGCTGCAACAGCCCTTGGAGGAAATCCCATGCTGGTCAAGTTGGAAATGAAGTTAAGGCCGAATTCTTCAGATATTCCCCTTCACTGACATTAGCCTCAGCAGACCCTTAAGCTTCAAGCTCCAAACCCAGCCCCAGCTTGTGACCACCAGCATTGATGCTTTTCCCATCGATCAGGGCAGACAAGTTCAGCTTCACACCTGCAAGTAATGAAAAAGGAAGCTCGGTTTTAAAATATATTATACAATTATATTATAGAGTCGGCACTATATTTCCACAGGGGATAGTTTCGTCATACCCAGGATGAAGCAACTGCAGGTTAAGGGAACTTAACTTTTCAGTATAGTGCTCAGCACAACAAATTCAAGTTATGCTTTTTGAAACTTTCTGGATGTTTTTCCCCCTGAATATTTTCAATCTGGGGTCAGAGGAACGACTGCATATCCAGGTGGGTACAGTCAGAATGGATTTCATCCCTTTATACCACAGAATTGGTGCAGTGTACACAAACTCCACACTAAATGGATGGGATATTCAGAGGGGCTTGCACAGAAATTATTCTCACAAAGCGGCTACACCAGATCATTTCACCTGCAAGTGCCATCATTAGTTTCACATCGGTCTCACTACAGTGTGGCTTGAGAATGGTCATACCTGGCCGCAGGGTTTGACTGTATCCAACTCCAACTAGGCTGGCGTTATTCACTTTAGCCTGAAAATTAAATAAAATAAGAGGCACTGATGATGACCCCCCCCGCCCAAAAAAAATAGGAAACTGCTAAAAACAGTAACAAGGTTTCAGTTACATTACTGAGTACAAGTACTGAATCAGAAACGATTATTTGTTCTGTGAAGGACTGTTAAAGTAACTCAGGAAGCTGCCTTTCTGCACACAGCCATACCAACATCTGTGTTACAGCTCTAAAGCTGCAGAACGAAGCCACCAAGCACTAACTTACGCTGATGGAGGAGCTCCTGTCTAGCTGGTACTTGGCCGCAATGCCGAAGCGTGTGCTGTTGCTGCCCGCGGTCCATGCCAGGTTGACGGCAGTTTCCAGTTTGTCGCTCACTTTCTGGCAAATCGAGCCGCCGAACTCTGTGCCGTCATTACTGAAAGAGACATCTGGCTGTAAAAACTAAAAAACGTATGGCCATAAATGTAATTTAAAAAAAAAAAAAAAAAAAAGTCACTACCAGGCTTTAAACTGTGTCCTGAAAAGCACAACTCACTTTTCAATCTAAAAATAGAACAAAATCTGACTATGCTACCCCTGCTACTCCACTTTGCAACCTTAAGGGGTAATTCTACCATAAAATATTTTAATATAAGAGAAGGGGGAATTTGACAATTCATATTCAGACTTACACATTGGTATGCAGCTGGAAATCCTCAGTCTTGTAACCAACAGCAAAGTTGTTCTGGGTCATTTTAGATTTGGCCGTGTCAAAGGTCATTTGGTAGCCAGCAAGCCATCCTTCATAGCCGACCACAGCGGCACCATGAATGGCTGGACCAGCAAAGTCAAAGTCAACATCACAGCCGAGGTTGACATATTCACGCTTGTACGCTGTCTTCACCTTCCCACTTTTCTTGCTGGAGAGGAAACATTTAAATGGAGTACAAAAGTAAGAAAAGTTCATATATATACATCATATCTAATACGATAAGGAAAACACTGTATATCCTAAAACTGATACAAAACCACAAAAACTTCTCAAGTACAGGAGCATCTTTTTATGCTTGACTTAACCAAAAGCATAGGGTTAGGATACATTCATTCTCCCTGCCACAATGCAGTATAAAATACGCATTTTCTCTAACAGACACTGAGGTCAGCGCAAGGTTGTTGGACACAAACATAACCAAGAGGTTGCTGGTTAGATACCTAGTTGTACAATTTTAATAAAACCAACCTGCATTACACTAAACAAAAGTCAATTAAGACACTAAGAGGCTAAAGAAAACCTAGCATCTATGTTCGCAAAAGCAAGATAAACATTACCCAGTGTTTGGTGAGAATGTTGTGTCGAAAGTCAGTTTCACGCCTTTGGCAATCTAGGAGCGAGGTCGCAAATAAGAATCCACAGAGAAAACCAGGTAACCAATTAAGAACCAATTATTTTTTAATTCAACAAATAACTTGTGTACACACCTGATCTTCAATGGTAATTTCTGTTCCGAGGGTATTGTCGGTATTCCATTTCTCTGTAAAGGTCAGTCCATACTCTGACCACTTGTATTTGGTTTCAAGGCTTCCATTAACTTTACTGGTGTCAGTGTTGGAGGAACCAGATGTTTTGAATTCCTGCACAAAATTCAAGATAGGTATACGTTTCGTGCTTACAAGCCATGAATGGATCACATTTATCTAATCAGACATGTGCTGCTGTGCACTACCAGAAATTCAGTGCACACACACACACACACAAAAAAAAAAAAAAACTCCCACTTACCACTCCACTTGAAGATTTGGTTTTTACATCAAGCTTCACAACACCAAAACCTAAGGACATTTAGAATGGTGTGCTTAGTAATGTCTGGTATTGAGCATCATTAAAAGCTGAACATACACTAGATTTTAAAATCTCTTTTGGTAGTAAATGTATAAACTAATGCTCAATAAATCGCATGTTCAATCCTTTCCTTTACATATAAAACCAACAGTGCTGAACTATCAACCACAAGCAAAAAGTTTCATGTACACTGACCATTATACGTAAAAGCACCTTACAAACGAACTGTTAAAACTTCAGGACTTGTTATAACACAATACTTCCTTTATCAAGGTTGATCACTAACAATGCCACATTATGTCCGATTTTGCATTATCAAACACTTTGGCACTTCTGGATTTTGGTCATTTCATCATTGTGCATTTGGTTGGTTTGTCCCTTTCATTTGATGTAGGAAAATGGGAGAGTTTGTATGTTTAGGTAGATTTGGTTCCTTTTTTGCAAAATCCACATCCAACACTGGTTTTCTGTCTCACATTGCATATGTCTATCTGCTCTACAAAAAACTCAACAAAAAGGATGTTTAGACAGATTAATGTGATGGCTGTTCTAACATTCCTGATGAAAATATTAAGGTTTCACGAATCTGTGAAGTACTAGTTTAGCTGCCTTTGAAGCCTAACAAGGCAAACCTACTACAGCTAAACTCACATTACTACATTAAACAGTAACAAATGACACTGACTATTCAATGGCACCAGTGTTGCCAGATCTCGCGAGATAAATAAGCAACCAGGCCTGTGAAAACAAGCCCAAAACAAGCGACTTTTCCTACGGAGCCCCCATAGGTTCAGGGAAGAGAAAAATAAATATATTTGATAAATATATAAGAGATTGTTATATCTCTTGCCGTATTTCGCCCACTTTGTCCCGGGCATTTGTTCCTCCAAAAAAACTATCATACATTCCAGTCAGTCACCATCAGTCACAACTCGCGCGCATTCATTTAAGTTTAAATGAATGCGCGCGAGTTGTGACTGATGGTGACTGACTGGTTAAGAAAAAAACAGATTGCCCTGCCCTGCCTATGATTGGCTAATACTCGTTGCCATCTGGGTCAGCCAATTAGATGCAGGATGTGGGTGGGGAAAAACTGCTGTCTCCTGTGTGTATGGGGAAAGGGGAGAGAGGGAGGGACAGAGGGAGGGACAGAGGGAACAGTCTAGACAAACTCCTACGTTTAAATCGTTTATATCTGTCTATGGTTTAAATAACATATAGAAAATATCTGCTTGATAACTTATTATGGAGCTGGGATCAAGCCCAAATAAGCAACTACACTTTAGAAAGAAGCCCAAAAAAACGCGACCCGCGACTATCAATATTTGTAAGCGACTTTACAAAAAAACAAGCCCAAAGTCGCTTATAATAAGCGGACTTGGCAACACTGAATGGCACCGACTATTCAGCTTTATTAGGGGCCGTTCACATATCGCGCCTAAAAACGCAAGGAAAACGCTAGACGCGCTAAGTGGTGCTAAGCAACCATCCGCCGCACTCTCCATTAATTTAAAAAACGGATTTCCACCAACGAAAAACCCTTGCTGAGACTCTTCTACAAGATTTATTTACGCAGAAAAGAAAAAAACGCCGTAGTGTTTGGGTGCACCCCATTCTTCAAAAACGTAAAAAACACGGGGAATTTCACCAGCTGATCCAGGAGCTCCGCCTGGACAACGGGAGGTTCAAAGCCTATTTCAGACTTGACAAGGACCAGTTGGATTATATTTTAGGAAAAGTTGGCCCTAGCATCAGCAAACAGAGCTTCTGCCGTGAAACCATCTCTCCTGCACAACGGCTCTGCATTTGTAATTACCGTCATAACCGAAATGACCAAAACACAAAATTAAAAAAATATAACTGAAATAATTCTATATAAAATCTATATAAACAATAACAAATTCTATATAAATCAATTCTATAAAAACAATGATGGATTTAACAAGGAATTAGTTATACGCATTAAAATATTTTTAAGTAACTAGTACAGCAATTGTGTGTGTATATATATATGTATGACAAATCATAAAGTTCAGGAAATCCCTGGATCACAATAATGAGCTGCTCCTCAGTTTCTGCTGAGGCGTCAGTGTAACGGAAAAGGCGAGGAAGCTAATTGGTTGAATCTTGTCACATGACTCGCGGTGCGCTTGCAGCATTTTGAAAAGTTGAGATGGTTCCAACTCGTCGCGGCGCGGACGCGCCTGAAAAAACCGGGCGCGTCGCACCGCGTGCGCGTCGCTTCCGTTATGAGCGCAGCTGCCGCGCGTCTACATTTGAAATAATGGACTTGAGCGCGCAAAAGACGCGATATGTGAACGGCCCCATACACGGCTCTCTGGAATGCTTGATTCTGATTGGTCAGTTGAGACATTTGCAGGTTCGTTCTTTTCAAATAATAACCGCTCCAAAGTAATAACGCATAGCCGGTACTACTTGTATGTTTAAAATCAGTCCGCGCCAACAAAGATTATCGTTTAAAAATGTTAATTTAAAACAAATATGTCAATAAAATGTTTCAAATTTATATTCATGTCCAGTTTTTTTCCTTATGTGGCAAGTAGCCGTGTAATAAGCGGGATAATGTACAGGCAGCCGGTAGTTATCGCGAAATAAGCCCCGACAGTGTGATCAGGACCCGACGCGAAGCGATAACTACCGGCTGCCTGTACATTATCCCTTACATAATGTGTTCAGTCAAAAAAAGAAAAGAAAAGCAGACTAAATGTATATAAATACCATATCCTTTGCTGAAGATGTCTTTGGCAGATTTGCCGAGGTCACTATACGATGGAGGAACAGCCATGCTACCTATGACAGAAAAAGAGACAATCCAGTTTGTGGACAGTACATCAGTGTTTAGTGTTAACCAGAAACAAAACTGCACACATTAAAACCAAAAGGAGGGACTAGTAATATAGGTACCAAGCATCATGTGCCGCAAAGCCGTAAACTCAGCACCTCGGACCTGACAAATGGCACATCTCAGGGTGCTTTGACATCTCTGGTTCAGTTCATTTGGTCCGAACCAAGAGCAACAAATGATAAAGTGTAGCATTTTTCTGCCGTTTGGGTTCTTTTCAAACCACACTGATTGCTCTTGTCCGAACCAGTTGAAACGAACCAAAATGCAGTCATGTGACAACATCTACATCACTCGTTGGCCAGATGTGCCATTAAACGTATTTCGTAAACTGCTTTTTAATTGGTCAGAATTAACGTGCGGGAAAATTCCAATGAAACTCCCGGAAGTAAACAAAGCGAGGAGACAACAAGCCGGTAGACAACATGCCGCTATTTAGTATGGAGGGACGACTGCGCTGGCTGATTGTATCGCTGGTCATCGTA